CGATATTCAGAAAAATCGAAGACAGATATTTCGTTGATACCGAGGCTCTTGAGTGAATTTCTGACTCTTCTTCCTGCGGTATATCCTTATAGTCATTTTCTTCCAAATTTTTCGTATGTATCTTGTACGTCTTCATTCCATTTAATATTTGATAGGCAAAGAAATTCATTGTAAGAAAAGCACTTAAAAGAATTTCTTTGTCGAATGACCAACCATCGATTTCATCCAACAAGATTTCCAGATCGATCGAATGATTAAGTTCACTTATACTCAAAATCTGTTGCAAACAAAACTTCAGAACGGATGTAGAACTAGTGCCTACAATAGATTGAAAGGCGAAGACACATGTGAGATAATACAGCGAGATGAAAGAGATGATGTAGGCACATATAGCCATCGTGGAAAATCGAAAGTCTTTCTCCCAGGGATAAATGTAATCATTAGCAAACTTTCGAACTGACGAACAGAAACCGTCATGGTTTGGGGGATGGTCAGCCAAACTCGTAGACTGATGAAAACGAAATCCTTCACCTGGAGTAGTCGGTGCTTCCGTTGCGATTCTTCGTTTTTTTCTGCACAGTAATATGATGGAAGAAATAAAACGAACGGTAAGTTCTGCACCGATGTAGGAAAGTAAAATAAACTGTGGTATGTTTTTGATCAATCCATATGTAACCGTCCAAGGACCCAGCTCCTAAATAATTTGACATAGAAGAGACGATCTTTTGAAGACAATTGGAAAACTTACCATGTGACGTTGCACCTGCTCAAGTGTCGATAATCTTTTGGAAAAGGGCAAAAAATCCATACATGAACTTCGACGAATAACGATATATCCAATGTTTCCCAAAGTGTAGATAAAGGCAAAAAAGCGAACCCATATGTTTCGTTGGTGTAACGAGATCAATATTGGGTAGTAACGAATGCTACACAACAAATCAACCAATAGAGAAATTCAATGAAAAGAAAACCGTCGACTAACCTATACAGAAGTGGAATGAGAGCACGTTCAAGAAGCTGCTCGAGTACACCTCGATTCCATAGTTCGCTCAAATCAATAATATAGTATTCAAGTGCCATGAGCACCTCTATCATTACTATACCAAAAAGTGCAGCAGTTTCATGACGATTGACTGTTGTAAATGGTTCAATCGGTGACACACATCCTCCTAAGTCAAATATGGAATAAATTTCTATCGATTGAATAAATGATTTATGATACCCAATTGATTGGAATCAGCAGTTACACAAGTTGTATTTATCCAAATTAATATGAAAAAGAGCAAACAAACCATGATTGAGATGACAAGAAATATGCGACTATCGATTCCCCAAATAGACTTGTGTTCGCATTGAGCCATTAATTGTATTGTGCGATCAATTGTCTCTGTGACATCTGATGGATCCATCTTTTCAAATTGAACAGAATTCCAATGAGAGATGATTGGAATAAGACATAGACATGTGAAAAGGGCGAGCATTAATGCAAACATCAACATCCAACGAATGTAATTGTTCTCTTTTTCTTCACTAAAGTTTGAATAGTGACGCTTTTGACTATTTCGTCACCATCGACTTACCTTTCCGATATTGATTCTCGATTCATATCATCCACTGTGGAATTTGTGCTCCTTTGTGTAGAAACCGACATTGTAGGTTGTTTTTCAAAACATCTATTTGAACAAAGAAAATTACACTTCATCATAAAAATAATCTCAAAACTCACTTGATAATTCTGTGCATCAGTTGCTGCTGACACTTTTTCAGAGGTGATATTGTAAAAGCCAAGCAAAGAATCATCATTCCAAGACCAACTAACATTTGTGTAAATTTCCACGAAGCTAAACAATAATCAATACATATCTGTATGCGAAAAATGAATGAGAAATCCACTACCTTTTCTGCAAAATTGACCATCCGACCAAAGATAACATGAACATCTAAAACCAGCTAAATCGTTTATACAACGTCCTTTTTTGCCGCATTCCTCATTGTTGAAGCAAAAATCGAGCACTGTGAGCACCGAAGAAAAAGATTCAAACATTTTACTTCGGATTTTCTCCGGCCACAGATCACTCACCGTATTGACAGATGTAATTATAGCTCATCTCTGGATTGATATCATTGATTGCACAATATTTTTCACCTGATACCATATAGACAGTTAATATAAATATTTTTGAATTATATTCTAGAGCATTCCATATTAGCTTATCACAGGCTCGACGAATAGCATCGAATCCTTCGGAATCAGCAGGAAAGGTAGATGTTGTTGATTGAGTACTTGTTATTAGTGTTTCAGTTTGTGTATCATCGATCGAACTGACTGAATTGTCCTGCTTTGAGTAGTTGTCAAGTCGAAGTCGCTTAGATTTTTTCATCTTTCGATTATGATATATATCACGAACCTGTTGAAATTTATCATCTGCTTTCTTCCATTCGCTCAGATCGGATAAGACGAACTCAGCGCCGAGTTTCCTATCTAATCGAAATACATTCGTGAAATAAAAAACGCCAATTAGTTTATCCAACTTTACCTATAGAGAGGCGCGGATCAATTTGAATGAGCAACTCCGAGAGATTATTTTTAGTCAGAATATGAGCGACATAGTAAAATTCAACCATATGCTTAATATACATTAGTTGAGACTCATTAAAAATATTTGTATTGCACATATTATTGGCTACGCTGACTGTTGATGAAACATTGGACAAATGATGGCATGAACCACCGAATCGTTGCCATCTAATAGGACATTGAAATCGATTAACTATAACACACGAATTTATTTGGAACATCATATAAACAGAGCGTTTGTTAAAGTGTGGACTTACCAATCGCTCGACTCTTGTTTAGAATTGATGGTAATTTAGTAATGGACAAAACTTGATCAGGATTATTCAGGTTTGAATGTTGCACCGGTGTAGTACGCCCATTTTGTCCGAGAAGGAAACTGATCACAAAGAAAAATGGCGAAATCATCGTTGTGATTGTTTTTCGTCTTTATCTGTAACAAAAGAGTAGAGATTCACCAGAAATTAAAGCTCTTCTGATGTGATTTTTTCTATCATTTGGAGTAATGAGAATTCTTTATCTATCTACTTTGTAACTTTTTATTCCGTTAGCTCTTTTATCCTTCGAACTTTTTTCATTGATTAAGAATGTAATACTTGCATATCGACGAATAAGTTCATAGATCAAATGATCTCATATACTAAAGTATAGAATCTTTACATTACAAATAATTTAGAATAACAACTGAATAAACTAATATGATCTCAAAGGTACAAAACTTCTCTATATACACAATATATCTCAATATATTTTTCTTTGTCTTTTCTTCGCTCGATGGTTTTTATCATTTCTCTTCGAGTAGCAGCATAAAACGGTCTAAAAAATGAGGAAATAAATAGTGAAAATGTACACTGGATAACTTAAATTTCTTCTAAACTCCTCATATACATTGGAATTATAATCAGAGACCTGATGCGATAGGTTCTCAGCGCTTGTTCGACTCACATTGACAAATTTACATATCAGAAGCCAAAGTTGCAGAAAAAGTAATGGGTTTTTTCAGCAGACCGATAGATGGATCGAAACAACGGATACGAATGGTTGAAGTTCGAAGCCAATCACATGCCATAGAACATGAGACACTCTGAAGATCATTTAAGTATATCTCAATCACTTTTTCCGACTAGAGTAGCTTTCTTTTCCTTTAATAGATTGTAATACTGTATTAAGAGTGTAAATTATAGATGTCACTAATTCTCATCTATTACTACTTCTGAGTTGTCTTCGCATTTCTCTATCATTCTTTTACTAATGATTTGTTATATTATTTCTTAATTATCAACACGTACGGTAGTTTGCGTCGAGCAAGTTGTAATATACAGAATGATGTAAATGACAATGAAGCCATCATCTTTTTCGTTCGATAAAAGAAAACGAACCGGTCACAGTGACATTGTAAAGCCAAGTCCGCATACACTTTATCCTATTTCTTTCGAAATCATAAAAGGATAGAAAAAAAAAATTATCAGTGATATATTTTGTTTCGTTTTCCTCTTGGTATCGAGTAGAAAAAGACACTCAAATGCTTCTCATCATATTTTTGTATTTTCCTGTTGGATTAATTTCTTTAATTTTCTTCCTCATTTATTGGAAATTAGTTCGCCCTCAAAAATACTATTATGACACATTTCGTAATCAAAATATTCCATGTGAACCATTCGTCCCATTGATTGGTCAAATACCTGAGATACGTTGTGCATCTGAAAATGATGCTACAATGGATTATCGTCTGAAACTGATTGAAAAACATGGTCATGTGTTCGTGACAGGTTTTGGTCCATCGATAAAATTAAACGTAAACGAACCTGATATGTTAGCCGATATATTTGGTCGATCACATGCACAAGATTATGGCAAACCGAATTTAACTGAGAAATTTTTTCAACCATTAATTGGAGCCCATAATCTGTTGATTAGTCAAGGAGAAGAACATGAACGTGCAAGAAAAATGCTCAATCCAGCATTTCATTTTGTGAAATTACAAGGAATGGTTTCAATTATGATTGAACAAACTCGAAAAGCAATTGATGAACTTTTAATATCAAAGACAAATGAGAAAAGTATTGTTGATTTACAAGTTGAATTAAATGCTCTAACATTAAATATAATAACATCAAGTGCATTTGGTCAAAGTTTTGATAGTATAACTGATGCAAAACGAAATCTTTGCCAAACATTCATTGAATTATCTGAAGCAATTATCTATCGAACATTACGTGGTGTGAATTTAATACCAATTGTATCACAATTACCATTTTGGTATAAGAATATGGTGGAAAACAATTCGAAAAAACTCGCAAATTTTGTTGATCAAATTATTGCTGATCGTCGATCAGATCGATCAAAGAGTTTATCTTCAAATGAAGATATTCTTGATCTTCTTCTTTCAGCTGTTGATACTCAAGGAAAATCATTTACAAATGAAGAAATCAAAGATCAAGCATTAACTTTTGTACTTGCTGGTCATGAAACAACAGGAAATTTAATGACATGGTGTATGTTTATCTTAATGACAAATGAAAATGTTTTCAAAGCATGTCAAAATGAAATTGATCGAATATTTCCTAATGGAATTGAACCAACATATGAACATTTAAATGAATTAGTCGTATGTGAAGCTGTTCTTTATGAAACACTTCGTCTTTATCCTCCAGCATCATTTATTGCTCGAAAATGTTTACGTGAACATTATATCGGTAGTGAAAATCATCGTCAAATTTACATACCTAAAGGTGCAGAAATATTAGTTAATACATATGCTCTTCATAGACGAAAAGAATTTTGGTCTAATCCGGATGAATTTGATTATACACGTTGGATTCGAGATCCTCTAACAGGTCGAAAACCAAAATTGACTCATCCATTTTGTTATTTGCCATTTGCAGCTGGACCAAGAAACTGTATTGGACAAAATTTTGCATTACTTGAAGCCAAAGTTATTTTAGCTATGTTTGTACAACGATGTCATTTCGAATTAGAACCTGGTCAAAAGATTGTACCTGATCTTCGTATTACAATCCATGCAAAATACGGATTACGCGCAAAAGTTACGAAACGATTATGATAATCACGGCAGTGTAAAGTGATTAGAGGCAAAATGATGACATTTTTCATCGACTAACATTTTTTTCGAAATAAATTTTCAAATTTAGTTTCTATGTGGCATTTCTAATTCAACAGGTTACATACCAGTAAGAATAGTATCTTAAAATTATGAAGAGATTTGTGAACAACTCCATCAAGTTGTTCATGTATTATGTGTCATTTGATATGCACCATGTATTCAAACGACGAGACGTGAAACAAGGAGAAATAAATTTCGTTTAGGCGAATGGGTTTGCATTTCAAACGAAACTAAGCTTGTTTACAGAGCATATGATGCATTATAGCGATTGCCGGGAAATTGTATGCAGAGCCAGTTTAAAACGAATTTCCAAGCAGGGAAATTAGGTGAGGACTTCTTATACAGATGTCCATATAGTCCGTATAGTGGAATTTCCCAATTACTAACCATGAAAATTGAACACGAAAAAAATGCAGGGGTAAAAAAAATATATTTTTTTGTTTCGGTCTCGCGGTGTAAGAGCGGTTTTTGTCTGGTGAGAAATCGAGGTATTTACCTATGTCTGAATGAGTGATTAGTGAGCAACTGCATCCCGTATTTTTATTGAAGAGGGCATTCGTTTGGTTCCTAGTCTGTTGTTTTTAGCGTCAAATAGAAGGATGAATCATATGTAATAAAATGTTTTCTGTAGTAAACTAGACGTTCGATGATTTCGTTTCTAACGCGCTGCTCAAAGCAGTGGCTTTGTGTGAAACTAAACGATTAGTAGGAAAACAAAGAAGAAGAAAAGGTACAGCACGTAATTGTTAAGAGATGGAACGGCAGAATACAGATTTCCTGAGGTAAGATGTGTGAAATTGGCGACTGATCAGTTGATCATTTTCTATAATGTTTCATTCGTTTTGAATGTGCTGTAATTTGTATCAATCTATTGCGCTTTTAAAGGCTTTTATTGATTCAATGCGTTTTAATGCATTCTAATGCAGTTAGGTGCCGTTCATGCCTTTCTAATTGGCTTTTGACGTTGTAGTTTGGTTTTTGTTAATTTTTTATATTTTACGTGTTTCAGTTCAGGGTGTTGTACAGTGTGTCCCGAAAGTCACTTCCTAAAAGTTTTTAACGATATTTCCACTATTTTACTTCATTATATCGACTTTTTTTTAAACGATAGAGAAATTCACAAAGTTTATTTTTATTTATATGGTTTTTATAAATACTGTTCAAAAGTATTACCTTCCAGCGAAATACAAAAATTCAATATGTTGCCTATTTCGAGAAAAACATTATGCAAAGTTTTTTTTTCGATTGATTGAATTTCTTGAGTGATTCGAGCTTTTAGTTCGTTCAGGTCTTTAATTCTTGTTCTATAAATATTTGTTCTGATGTATCCCCATAGAAAAAAGTCCATAGGTGATAAATCAGGTGACCGTGGAGCCCAGGAAATGGATCCACCTCTCCCAATCCACCGATCATCAAAACTATCATCCAACCACGAACGAACTGAATTTGCAAAATGAGCTGGTGCTCCATCTTGTTGAAAAATCAGCCTTTTAGTCAATTTTTTCTTCTGTAAGAATGGATAGAAGAAGTTTTGCAGCATGTCGAGATAGTTATGTTGGTTAACTGTCGATTCATCGAAAAAAACAAGGTCCAATAATCATCTTGCTTGACATTGCACACCACACTGTAACTTTTGGTGAATTCATTACAACTTCCATGGTTGTATATGGATTACCCTGAGACCAAATGCGACAATTATGTTTATGTATCATACCTGAAACATGAAATGTTGCTTCATCAGAAAAAAAATCAAACCATCATTATTTTCATCTTCAATAATTGGTAACAAGAATTAAAGACCTGAACGAACTAAAAGCTC